ACAGAAAATTCTGGATGTCACTTGAGATGCCCGCTACATTGGCCACAGAGGGTATCGTGGTGAACTACGATGTTGTTGCCAGTTTAATTGTTGTAAAACCTCACGGTATTAAAAGAACAAAAACGCTCTTAATAATTTGGCAGATGTTGTCTCGGTCAGATCCGATCCTCCTCGGAAGGTTCTCGAAGAGGTCAAAAAAATCACGAATAAAATTTGCATGTTAAATATGGCAAAACGTATAGTTGGCTTCAGAGGTTATGCGATGGGCTTTTCAACGTTGTTGGAAATTTGAGCCATTCTCAGACCGAATTTTTGCCACAGATTAATGATTTTAATCCAATTGAGGTAAATTTAGAATCGCCCTACTAGCTATTTGAAATAAAATCATCTTGTTCTTATTGATCTCTATCAGAAATACTTTCGGCAAAAGACAAAACATGGAAGAATGGCATTCTGTACAAAAGAAAAAACTCGAAGTTCTCCAAACAAGTTTCACAAACCTCTTGTTAGATCATTCTGCTAAAAATCTGTCTTTGGAATTAACTAAGCACATCCTCAAGACGGTGGCCGAAAGTCTTTTAGCCCACAAATCAACAATTAGAGGTGACGTTTACAATTATTTGCAAGAAAGCTGGATGAACGAGTATGGCACGAACCATTGGATGCATACACAAAGTTTCGGTAAAAAGGATCATAACGCCGTTTGCGAACATCTCACCAACCTCGAAATATTTATTCGGAGAGTCTTTCAAGAAGAGTGCAAGACTAAAATCACTACATTAGTGGATGGCAAGTTTAGAGAAATTAAGCAAACAATAAACGAAATCGAAACGCGCCTCACTTCGGAAATTGTCAGAGTATGGAGTCTCGGTCAAAAGTCTAATATTAAAGTTATGTTTGAAAAATCTCGGGGAAATACCACGTACAATTATGTCAAAAGATTCTCTCGTCCATTTTGGAGAATATAATGTCAAAGATCCCAAGAAATATTCAAAAAAAAATTTTGACAAGCTTCGTAACCAATGGGAAACTGAGGCGTATCTTGAAATATCGAAGACGCGTCTTCAGGAATATGCTGATCAAATAATCGAAGCGAAATGGGCACCTTGGAAGGTTGCACTGCGCGTTATCCTACTTGTGATTCAAAATGTGAAGATATTAAAAGCACCAGATATACACATCATACCTCTGCACATGTGATCATGACTTTTGGAGGATATAGGTATGTGCACAGCAGAAAAACAGGCTTGGTTGTTTGAAAAAGCAGCACACGAGTTGCGTTGGAAAAGTAACAATATTGACCAATTTGTTGAGTTAAACATGTTGATGGACATCAACCAACCACCTTGGTTAAAAATATAGCCTAAAGATGTTGCGGATAACAAGATAAGAATTATGCGTGGTGTGTGGCATCTTAGAGAGGAATAGTGTGAAAAATATGGTATGAAGGACATAACGCCAGCGGATTGGGTTAAATATACAAAATGAGCAAGTTCATCTTTCATGTAGGTCCTATTTAGTTTATGCTTCAGTGACTTTTTAGGACTTTGATCTTCCTTTATTTGCTTGCATCAAAAATACGCATTATCTTCCGTCACTATGAA